GGATCCATATTCAACAAGAGAGCAGACTAACCTTCCTTTCTTATGGAAGATTCCAGAAAGAACATCCAAAGCACATTTCCACAAAACATAAAACCCCTGCTTCTTGAACTTTCCCAAGAGATGTGGAGCAGGGGGATCATCACAGAACTTCTCCTGCACTTCAGGGAAATTTGCTTCAGCAGTTCAGTACAAGAATAGCTGCAAAACTATCTTGAGGAACCAACCAGAAGTTTAATCCTGCTTTGATGTTGGAGAAGGGGAGACTCTGCAGGAAAAGATCAAGGGAACGATGAATGGTTGGCTATCTTTGAGAGCCAAAATCTGAGGTGAACTGCCCGGAATTCTGAAGTAATTCTTAGACTTTGCACATCTCCTCAATCTCTCTTTCTCACATACAACATGTTTATCCTTTGCTTGCCAGCCTCCATAATATATAATAAAGGGATAAAGAAGTGATGGGGCTTCGAGTTGCTAATACATGATTCATAGGAATGAGTTACAAGTTCCTGTTCATCCCCATGCTATAACTTTGTACTCTTTATCACACTGATTCTAGAACTCAGACCCTTCTCAGAAAGACCAGAGGACGGATGGGGACAGATGTCATCAGGGCCAGCCCTAGGTTAAAGAGTGCCCTATGTGAGAACTGCCAGCACTAACCAGGGGTTTATGTGGCATGGAGCTGGTGTGATGCCATAGGTTCTGTTCTTGCCTCCACAAGGACTTGTGTGGTGTGTACAAAATCCGGGAACATATGTGAGAATTATGATACACACAGGCTACATGGAAGAATTTTTGCTTGCAGCTCCTCCTTGCTCTGCTATCATAAGAAAACAGGTATCAGTCTACGCTTCTCTTGAATACCTTCTCCAAAATCCAAAACCCTCCAGGCAGAGCTTCTTTCTGCTTCCTGAGGCCTAGTCGCACAGATCTGACAATGGCTCGCTGCTAGTCTTCTCTACTAGTCACTCACAAAGGATTTCTCCATTAAGGTCTAGCCTCCTTTCACCTCTATGTTCCTCCTCATGGTAGCTACCACACAACATTATGCCCCGTGAATATGGAAATCTTCAGGTGCAATGCACTCTCTTGCTGCTGTCAATAATCTCCTAGTAGATCTTGAGTAATAAGGACAAGCAGCATGCTGTGTCACAACTAGAGATGAGCATGAACCACCAAATGGCGATTCATCTTGGTTTGTGGTTCATCAAGGTTGACAAACCATGAATTTCCAAATGATTTAATGACGAACCACGAATCAGTTTGTCACTGCTTTTTTTTTTTTAAGACAGCCCATGGCTTGGACGAACCCAAACTGATCTGAAGCAATGAATTGGTGATTTCTCATGAATTTCCTAAACTGTTTTGGGTTTTGTGTCCATCTCTAGTCACAACCCTTCCTTAAAGCCTTTCCTATTCCTTTTTGCTTTATAACCAAAACTGTAACCAGAGGTTGCCTAACCAATATTATCTCTATTGCTGTTCAGACAATAAATTAAAATAAAATCTTAGCTTACAGTGAGTGACACCGACCACTTTTATAGCTGAACTGCAGGACTAGAGCAAGAGCTTTCCTTCCAGACTCCCAAGCTTATACTTTACAAGCCACTGAAGTCTGACCAAAGAAAATAATCCCCTTACTCATTTTTTCATTAATCTGAATGCTCATCAATGACTTAAACCATTGTTTAATATTCAAATTAGAAACTGTTCCAAATATAGCTAAATAAAATATCTACCTCATCACACTGGGGAGAGGTCCTGGAACATCCAAATTACATGTTAAGATTCTGTGTCATCTTACACGCTAATACACCACTTCCTCTTTCTATGGAAACCTTTAACAAAATACCAAGAATCTGGTAAGCAATCTGGCAGCCACAGACTAAGATCCAGTGGTATGTTCAGGAATTGAGGTGGGGTATGTTTTCTTTGCAGAGAACTGAGATGAATTGCCTTGGTTTTCCTCTCAGACACTGCACCTTTCCAGTGTTACCATTATGCATGGCTTGTGCAGGGCTGAAAGATGCATCAGTGTTACAAACTGCACTGCTCCCTGACTTTTCCCCTTCAGTATCCATGTACAGGGCCTAGAGTGAGCTGCCTCTTATTTGCTGTTCTGATTTCGGCACCACTCCTGCTTCAGTTTAAGGATCTCAGTGAAATCTCTGTCATGGGGTGTGAGTGGCACTCAAAATGGTGAATACTTGTCAAGAAAAACAATGCTCAAACATTGATTTTTTTTTCAGTCAGTGTCCAACATTATTCAAAAACCAAAGTTCAAAAAACAATATTTTTGACCAATGCCAGTGCAATATGCAAGACAGAATAATCACAAGTTTTATATTTGTTCTTCTTTCTTTCTTTCTTTCTTTCTTTCTTTCTTTCTTTCTTTCTTTCTTTCTTTCCTTACTTACTTTTCTTTTTTCCCTTTTTCTTTTTGGCAATGGTCACTATCCATCCGTAATCACAGTTAGAGGTACTGTATTTGCTGGCGTATAAGACTTCCCTTTTTCTTTTTGGTAATGGTCACTATCCATCCGTAATCACAGTTAGAGGTACTGTATTTGCTGGCGTATAAGACTACTTTTTTTGCCCTGAAAAACATGCCTCCAAGTGGGGGTGGTTCGTCTTATACGCTGGGTGCACTTCAGTTGAGATAAACATAGCTGCCCATAGTAGCCTCCTGATGCCTGCCCACCTCATTCTACATACCATCCAGTATCGCGCGGTATCCAACACGGCCACAGCGAGCATCAGCAGCGAGACTGGGGTGCCAGCCTTTTCGACGTGACTGGCCTGTTCTGCTCGGCAGGAAGCAGCGGCACTCTGGCCCGCCCCTTGTCTACACAGAGCTCACACATGCGCACTTGCGCACTACTGCCAGTCACAGGGAGATGCAGGGGTGGGCTGGAGGTGCTGCGGTCGCGCTGCAGCCATACAATGGTGACAACGAATAGCACCTTTTATTTGGTGTGTGGAAGGTGTGCGGAAGAGGGGGTAGTCTTATACGGCAAGTATATAACAAACTCTATATTTTGAGTGGAAATGTTGGGGGGTCGTCTTATACACCCAGTCGTCTTCTACAGCGGGAAATATGGTATATACACAAAGCACAGGCACAGAACTCTGACTGACACTTGCCTTCACCTCAGTACCCCAGGTGACCACCCACCTTTCTCACCCTTAAAGCCAGCGCTGGACATTACTGTTGGATTTTATGTTTTCAGAAAAAGGGAATCAGGCCATTGTGTACACATTTCTGTCCAGCTACAAGGGGGTGCTGATAAGTATTGAGCCTTACCCAGAAAAAAACTGAGCGAGGATGCTATAAATTGCAGGGTGTATAGGCCAATTTGTCTATATTCAACAGTGCAAAAATCAACTACCTATGATTTTAACTTAACTTTCATGTTCAGGTCCAAAGTGAACATGGCAGCACCTCCAGAAAAGTTCAATGTGGAAGAGCACAGGACCATAATCAAGTTCCTGTTTCTCCAAGGGAAAGGTGCAAAGCAGATCCATGATGAAATGCCACAAACTATGGGTGACAGTGGCCCTTCATATGCAACAGTTAAACATTGGGTTGTCAATTTTTAAACTGGCCATTTCAGTGTTAAAAGTGAGAAACCCAGTGGAAGGCCTGTTTCTGTCTCTGTGCCTGCAAATGTGAAAGCCATCCATGACATGATCATGGAGGACCGCCGAATATCAGCCAAAAGTATTGCTATATATCTGAGAATATCACGTGAGAGAGTTGGTGCCATTATCCACAACGACTTGGAAATGAGAAAGCTGGCAGCAAAGTGGATCCCCAAATTTTTGACAACCGAACAAAAGAGGAAACTTATGGAGTCTTCGGCGGCTGTTTTGGAACATTTTGCAAGAAATGAGTCAGATTTCCTGGACAAACTGGTAACTGGCGATGAGACATGGATCTGAACAGTTTTTTTTGGGATAAGAAAGGAGTTCTGCTGGTGGACTACCTCCAACAGGGTTCAACAATCAATGCAAAATATTACTGTGCTTTATTGATGAAGTTCAGGCAAAACATCAAGGAAAAACATGGAGGAAAGTTCTCCAAAGGTATAATCCTGTTGCATGACAACGCCTCGTCACACACTGCAGCCACCCTATTCTCCCGACCTGGCTCCTTCTGACTACTGTATTATGTTCCCCAAACTTAAAAAAAAAAAAAAAAACACCTAAAGGGACAAGGATTTGGGAGTGTTCTGGAGGCAACTAATGCTGAAAATGAGTGGTTACACCAGCAGTTGGAAGAATTTTATTTGCAGGGACTTAAGAAGCTGTAGGACAGATGCTGCAAGTGCATTGACGGCCTGGCGGAATATGTAGAAAAGTGTGGCAGTTACAGCTTCCTAGCTCAATTTTTTTCTGGGAAAGGCTCAATACTTATCAGCACCCCCTCCTATAAGAAACCTTCAGCATACACAGCAAGAGTTCTTGTGATCCTTCCAAGGTACCTAAACCTATGACCTTGATAATGTACTTCTTGTCTCTGAAGAAATGGACCGTAATCTACAAAAGCTCACACTGAAACAGATTTGCTAGTGTTAAGACTGCCACAATACTTTCTGCTTCTTTTCCTCACCGCGCCCCCCCCCCGTCCCTCTTCTGCACATCCAGCCCTGAGGAAGCCTTCTGCGTAACTCAAAAAGTACGCTCGCTATGCGGTGCCATCCTCGTTGAGCCTGACAAGGCACTGGCGGCACTGCGCACTTGGGCGAGCCTTCCAATGGACCAGCCTCTTTGACGGCACCTTGGAGAGGGGCGCGTTCACCGCGGCCAACCCATCCTGCCTCCCGAGGAAAGCCGCCGCCCCCGAGAGCCCACACGCCTTTGGAGAAGCGGGCTCTTTGCACCGGGGGTGGCACCGGGCTTTCTCACTAGGCGCTCTTCCACGGCGTTAAGCGTCCGTCCCGTCTCGTCTTCCCGCCGGGACTGGCCAATGCCCGGCAAGCGGGGCGCCCCTTACTTACCTTCTCCTCCGGCAGAACAGCCACAGCGCCCAGAGCGCCAGGGCAGTGGCCAGCACCAGGCCAGACGTGTGGCAGGTCAGCAGCTCCACCAGGACCATGGTGCCAGAGGCTCGCTCGCTCGCTCCCTCGCTGGCTTCGGCGCGCTTCTGTGGCCGTCCCGCCGCCCTCGCCAAGAAAAGTTCTGGCGGGGAAACTCCGAGCCTCCTTCTTTTTTTTTTCCTTCCCCCTCCTTTCTTTCCCTCCCCCTCGTTCCAGGAAGTTTGGCTCGCCGCACAAATGAAAAAAAAAAGGAGCCAAGGCGGCTGCGATTGGAGGGCCGGGGCCTTTGGGCGGCTGCAGGCGGGACTCCGAGGCCCTTCCCCTCGGGAGCGAGAGATCCCTCGGCAGCCTAGCCGGCGCGAAGAGGTGAGGAGCGGAGGGATCGTGTGCCTCCCGGGTCGCTCCCTCCCCTCGCCTCGCCTCGCCTCCCTTTCCCACGCCAACCCTGAAGCGGCTGATTGTTCCAGGTTGCCAAAAGGGGGAGAGACGGAGCCCAGCGTTGTAAATGAAGCGTCTGGAAAAGTTTCAGCCTTTGGACATCAGGAAATTCCCCCGAGCAGGCCGAATTGGAAACGATTGCTCGGATGTAGGGCATACCGCCCCCCCACACACACAGCGGGTGTTGGAGTTGGCCTTACCGACAGTGTGTTGTTTCAAGCAGGGTTCGTAAACATTTGCTCTTGGAACGGCAGTTTTCCATCCAGTTTTTGTGGTCCAAAGGCATCATTTTTCCAACTGCTGCTTGTGAGCCATCCTTGTAACATATTTTGGTTCTCTGGAATGGGCAATGAAGGGCTGTTTATTTTACAAAAGACCTGCTTCTGAAAAAACTTGGAGAAATGGTTCACAGGCATGACTTAGTAGGACTGCCCTCCTGTTGACTTTGACTAAAGCACTGCAACAATGAGTATCTGAACTTCAATATTTACCCCTTCAGCGCAATCAATAATGACATGCATTTACAGTATAAGATTAATATAGTATACTGTAGTATCATGGCAGAGCTCCTAAATCTTAACCCAGACCAGCAGCAGGAAGTTTCCTTATCTAAGGGGAAAGTGTGGGAGAGTGAATGCACTATTCTTGAAAAAATGCACTATATACTTCTGTATTTGGTATTAATGCCAGGTCCCTAGTATTCATTACTGCTTCCTCCCAATATAGACAGGATGGCAGTTTCAGCACTAAACTCCAAGGATAAGATAACAAATAAAATGTCCTGTCATATATTTGTCTAAGCTTTTCAGTTCCCTAGCCACACAAACTGCTTTTTGCCCTGTGTCCCTATGACAATATAGAGCATCTTGGCGGTAGAAAAGGCATGCTTTACCTTACTTTTACTACTTTACTTACTTTACTGCCTTTACTGCCTGTCTTAAAGCATTTTTGATCATGCTTTTTGGCAGAAAACGTAACTTGCATGTCTGACAGGCAACTGATAAAGGAAAGCATTCTGTGTCCGCAGGCTTAGAGACATGGAACAAAAGGAAAAAGGGGTGAGGAGGGTAGAGAAAAAAAGCAAACAGGCTCCCATTCTGTTCACTTCATTAAGAAGTGTGGCAATTGTTTCTTCAAGAGAATCAATACTGCAATCTTGTATGTATGTACTCAGAAATTAGCCTACCAGTGTTTAAGATGTGAGTGTAGAGCAAATTAATGCAGGGATCATCCACCACCACCACCACCACCACGAGCAAGAAGTGACAATGACTAAACTGCGGCTGTCATGCTTCAGGCACATCGCATGAAGACAAGACTCACTAGAAATGGCAATAATGCTGAGAAGAAGTTGAAGGAAAGATTGAACATGAGATTAATGGGCACAATAAAGGAAGCCTTTAGTTTGCAAAAACTAAACAGAACCATGAATGATAGGACCTTCTGGAGACTATTAATTCATAGAGTTGCCATAAGTCAGAAGTGACTTGATGGCACATATTTCTTCCAGAGTCCATCCTGGATCTTATTTCATACTGAGCAAAGACCTCCTTGCGATGGATAGAAGCATTTCCTGTATGGGAAAACAGACTCCGCAGCTGGATACAGTGGTCATGCAAATGCCTCAAAAGCAATGATGCTGACATTAGATAATAGTTTCCACAGGGATGTCTAAGAGAAGACAGACCTCCAGGTGTGTAGATGTCAGATAAAGGGAAACACAAAGCTAATTAGGCAGTTCAGCAAGGGCATACCAACTGTAGTTTCTTGAAAATCTCATTGAGCTCAATTCTGAACTGTTGTAGGAAAGTAGAAAGTAGTTACTGGCTTCAATATCATTTGGGTATAATTTCAGTAAAGTTCAAGGCTTGTTCATGCCAATTTGCATCAGAAGAAGTGGGAAAGCATATACAAAATGTGCCTTTAAGACTTCTCAATACTTTGTGTATTTTCCCATGTAATAAATGAGATTTAATTTCTCACTACTGTACTTCCTAAGGCTATAATGCTGTATAGATTTACCTGTGAGTAATCTGTACTTCTGAGTAAACGTGGATAGAATTACATGTTAACTCTGATACTAATTCACATTCAGGATTATGTTTGCCTCCAAAGAGGATAACTGGCAAGTGCACCCTTTTAATACAGTATAGATAATAGATATACACAGATGACAGTAGGCAAATAAAAGTTGTGTATGCAAACATGCATAGCATTAAGGAGACAATGACTTCCAAATGAGTGTATAAAAATGCTACACACATTTGTAGGCACATCTTATATTTGCATATGTATACTGACAATTAGAAATTCATCACATTTTTGCCAATTTCTGCTTCTGAAAATAACATTTATAATAAATTTAGATGAGGAAGAGAAATGTAGAAATTTTTTCCATTCCTAGGTATTCCTTTGTTTCTTCCTTTTCCAGGATTAGGTGTCATTAATTTTTGCAGGAGTAAAAAGAGATTGGATTAAGGGGAGGAGACAGTCTTCATCTCCCAGTGGGCCAGATCTGGTCTTTGGACTGTCAGCTGCAGACCCTTTACACAAAAAGATATGCAACAGACTTTTGGATATTGCACAGTTTTTGTCCAGTCATGTTCGACTCTAGTTGGGTTTTCGTTTTAGGTGCAATATCTTTTAAAGAGTCAAATGCAGAATCTGAGTATATTGAGTCTTTCATTTTAGTCAGACTATAGTTGAGGGATGGTTCACAATGACAAAGATGTTGACTCTGGAAACCATTTACAGAACTGGAATAAAGCTGGTGTAGAATTAATGAATCCTGCAACTTCAGTTTCAGTACAAACATTTGGGATGGCAAGGAACAGAGGTTGCCTTTCCTGCCAAGTGTTTTTGAACCCGTAGATGACCTTCCATGTTTCTTACTGTGAACATGATTCTTTTTCAGTTTATGATGCTCTTTTCCTCTTCCTAAGAGGGAGAAGGTTTCCTCTGCCAGCCCTTCCTCTTCTTCCTTGTCTCCACTGCTCCTAATCTGGCAGCACTATTTATTTAGTTTTATAATGCACAATTGTCTGAAGTTAAACTGTTGAGTTGTGTGGTGCCTTGCTGCTCATGAAGCCTACAATCAGAGCAGGACTCAGACTCCAACAGTAGACAGCAAAATCCTAGTCCCCCCTAGATTTCAAGTTAGGTAAGGTATATTTTTGGACTCCAACTCCTAGATTTAGCCCAACTTCCCAACAAGTGTTGAAATGCCAGCTGGAGAATTCCAGCAGATGTAACTCTGCCTAGTGTTGCAGGTTCTCAATGTGAATCTGACATTTTAGATTTTCCTAGAGGGTGTGTTCACATGTGGACATTGATTGTAATTTGCCAGTGTGATGTGTTCCCCAGTGATCACACAATGCATACGGAAATGCATTCCAACCCGATGCTAATCTGTGCCCAAGCTGGGCCTGTTTGATCCAGCTGCAGGGTTGCTACTTTTGGGGAGTGAACTGGAGCAATCACCCAGCACAAAGAAAGGTCACTTTAAGGAAGATCACTCCCTTTAAAGCAACTCTATCCTATGGGGTCAGGTGTGTGCCTTTGCAGACTTCTAATCACACATTTAGTTCAGTGCTCCTCTTTCAAAACATATTAAAAATAAAACCTCAAAATACAGTGAGGGCATCTGAAACAGTTCCTAATCCTGGGAAAGAAAGATGCTAACCTGCATGAGAACTTAAGAAGAGTGGCCTTTGGTTCAAATTTTCTGGCTCTACATTCTGCCACCAGTTTCCAGGATACTCCCATGAATGGGTTGAAATCAACATACCCACCCCTATCACTTGCCAAAACTTACAATTCACTGGGCAAAGCTCTCTTTTTCTTCTTGTCTTTTCATCAAGGAGGTACCCAATAGCACTTCTCAGAACACCCCAACAAGCATGGCCCCTTTGAGAATCTGGGAGCTGTAATCTGGAAAAGTAACTTTCCCCCATCCTGATTTTAAAAGGTACAAATCTGTACTGTCTCCCCACCAGCCGGTGGACAAAAGGCTGTCTTACCCCCTGCTCCCCAGGGATTTCCCAATAATCTTTGGGTAAGGCAGCACCTCTTTGTGGGCCTTCTATATCCCCTCAGCCTCCTGCGGATTCTAAACTCTATTTGGACTTGTTGGCAGCCTGGCTTCATGAGCCACAGGCAGAACATCTGGCCTCATTTTTGAACTGCTTGCCTTAACCCCCACTTTTATAGCATTTCTGCCTGATGGAGAATGTAGGAGAACACAAAAGCTGATTTTATTTGCAACTGTTAAGAGGTCCCATGAAGGGTGATTGTCCAACTGTGAAAAAGCCACTTTTTGTACTTTCTTGTTAAAAGATATTTTGACAGTTCCTGGTGGCAGAATTTTTTTTCTTTTCTTCCCTCCTCCTTTTATTGACAAATTTTTGGGGGGGGGAATAAAAGAGATTTTAATACAGGACCTGTAAACCAGTTATCCATGCAATCACGTAACAACAATAAATTCATCTCTGTGAATAATACAGCCCATCTTTGCATCCTATTGAACGTCAAGGATAGCACGCCAGTACCCCAGCTGACTTTTCAAAATCTCACTCTCCCCATTCGACTCCAAACCCAAAACCAGCACTGTGGCTGCTTCTTCTTCTGCAGCAGCAGCATGGGGAGGCAGGTGGGAGGAGAGGTTGGGGCTTCAAGCTCTTTAAAATGTGTGTGGTTCACTGAATATTTCAGCAGGCTGCCAACGTACCCCTGGGGAATACAAGAGTGAGAAGGGAAATGGAGGTTTAACACCTTACACACTTGATGTAAACCTGAATGAAATGTTACAGGGCACAAAAAAAATAATGTTGTGTCGAACCCAAGAGGTCGGCTGCAAACAAGAATGGAAAGAGAATTTCAAGAATTCTTCCAAAGGGAGAGCTGTCGGTGGCCCTTTATCAGCCTGCATCTAAGAGCAAGTTTTGTTCTTCCTGTTCATGCTGGCTTTTTCAGTTGGATTGTGCAATATCATGAGTGTTTCATTTATTGGGTCCTGCGTGGCTCCTTATTATTTTCTATTTTTTACTTACTCTGCAACGCAAATTGAAGTCAGCTAGAAAGATCTCATCCTAGAAGAAAATTGTACCCTTGCATCCATTTTCCTGAAATGC